GAGATGGGAGCCTCAAGATAACTTTTTGCCAGGCTACACTTCGCCCTCTATTGTTTTTCTATTGTTTATTTCATTTCTGCTCTAATATTTATCATTTCCTTCTGTTTGCTCTATGTTGGTTTGCTCTTCTTTTTTGCAGTATTTTACAGGGTAAGGTTAGGTTATTGCTTTGAGACTTGTCTTTTGAAAATAATAGGTATTTGCACCTAGAAATTTCTCTGTAAGCTCTGTTTCATTTGCATCCCAAAGTTCTGATATGTGGTGCTTTCATTGTCATTCATCTATCTCAAAGTCTTTTCTAATTTCCCTTTTGATTTTTTATTTGAATTATTTGTTATTTAGGAGTATAAATATCTACACATATTTGTGAGTTTCCAAAATTCCTGTTACTAATTTTTTTCCTTTTTTTTGCTGCACTGGGGTTTGAACTTAGGGCCTCACACTTGCTAGGCAGGCACTCTACCACTTGAGCCACTGCACCAGCCCTTTTTTTGTGATGAGTTATTTTAAGATAAGGTCTCTCAGACTATTTGCCCCAGCTGACTTTGAACCACGATCCTCCTGATCTCTGCTTCCTGAGTAGCTAGGATTATAGGCGTGAGCCACCAGCGCCTGGCTGTTCTATTATTTTAAGTGGGGATATTGAATTATCCAAATTATTGTTGTTGAAGTTTATATTTCTCCCTTGAACTATGTCAGTTTTTGCTTGATGAATTTTGGAGTTCTGTTGTTAGACCTGTATGTTTTGTAACTGTTGCATCTTCACAATGAACTTACCCTTTGTCATTATAAAATGTCTTTCTCTGTACTTAGTAACATTTTTTATTTCAGTCTATTTTGTCTGATGTTAGATCAGCCACTTCATCTTTCTTGTGGCTGCTGTTCTCATAAAACATATTTTCCCAGCCTTCTACTTTCCATCTAGTTGTAGCTCTAAATCGTCAGTATATTTCCTCTCTGAAACAGTTAGTTGGATCTTCTTTTTTCAATCCAGTCTGACAAGCTCTGCCTTTTGATTGGATTACTTAATCAATTTACATTTAGTGCTGTTACTGATGTAGCTGGATTTACATTTGCCATTTTATTTTGCTTTATTATGCTTGTCTTTTTTCTCTACTCCTCCTTTGTTATATTCTTTTGCATTAAATGAATATTTTCTAATGTAGCTTTTTTTTTTTGTAGTTCTGGGGTTTGAACTCATGCTTACTAGGCAGGTGCTCCACCACTTGAACCACTTGGCTAACCCTTGTTTGTGTTGGGTACTTTTGAGATAGGGTCTCACTTTCATTTTGCTCTGGCTAGCCTCAAACCTTGATCCTCCTGATCTCTGCCTCCAAAGTAGCTAGGATTATAGGTGTGAGCCACCAGTGCCTGTAACTTTTAACTTCTTTCATGTTTTTTTTCCACATATATTTTTTAGTTTTTTTTCCTTAGTGGTTGATTTAGGATTCATCATATTCTTCCTAACTTATTAGAATCATCTTTTATATTAATTCCAGTAGAGATAAATTACTCCTATTTAGCTCTATTCACTACCCCCTTCCTGTGGTATTATTGTTATGTACATATCTGTAAATGTTACAAACCCAACAATGCGTTATTATAATTACTATTTTATACAATTTTATGTCTTAAAAAAGCCAAGTGAAGGAGAATATTTATTTATTTATAGTTCTTTTAATTTGTTCCAGTGGGTTTGAGTTTCTGTCTGGAGTCAGTTTCTTAGCTAAATACAGCATACATATGTGTGTGTGTAGTATGTATGTCTACAAAATTCTGTCTATACACATGTGCACCTATATATACACATATGTAATATATCTAAAATCAATTAAGAGAAGAAATATGCATTCATACTTTTTAAATAATTATACAATCATTTTTTCTGGTCATCCTTGTTCATTGTGTTGTGTGTATGTAGGAATGTGTGCAAATTACTCTGTGGAGTCACTTGTTTTTCACCTGAAGAATTTCCTTTAGTATTTCTTATGAGGTGATATACTGACCAGAATTCTCTCAATTTTGGGGAATGTCTTTATCTCACCCTTACTTTTTTATTATTATTACTATTATTATTATTTATCATACTAGGATTGAACTCAGGGTCTCATGCTTGCTGTGAAAGTACTTTATTACTTAAGCTACACCCCTAACCCTTTTCTGCTTTTAGTGTGCTCAATAACTTTGCTGGGCTGGCCTTGAACTGTGATCCTTATACAAGACATCCTGGCTGCCTCTCTCAGTGTGGAACCACCACCTTATGGCTCCAGGCAAAGGCAATTGTGTCCTCAAATTCTCAATAGTTTCATATCTAAGATAGAGCCTCCACCCCACCAGATAGCCAGAGACCCCTCCCCACTTCTTAGTCACAGTTAAGCAGAAGTTAGCCTCAGCCATAGGTAAGTGGGAGCAAGATAAGAAATGCTGACTAGATGCCTCCCTGGGGAGAAGCCCTCTGGTTAGGAGCTGTTGGGAGAGGAGCACTGTGCTCTTGGCCTACTGGTCTGGAGTGGAGTTTCCATCCTCCTAAGCTGGGGAGTGGGTGGGAGGAAGCAGGGCTCAGTTTGAACACATCTCTCACTTAGTAAGTTTTTGTAGATGTTCTAGGATAACTGTTTCTTTGTTGACTGTATGTCCTTAGGAGACTTTAAGTGGTTGGGGTTTTTTGTTGTTGTTTTGTCTTTTTTTTTTAAAGAAAACAACAACTTTCACCAGTCTCACTGAAGGAGAGTGCACAGAGCTCTTCACGGCTTCACATGAAACCCCTTTTCTCTCCAGTGCTCTGCAACCAAACTTGTGCCCCTACTATTGCAGGCTGTTCTCTCTGAGGTCATCAACTTCTGTAGGGACTCCATTATTGCATTTGATCTCTACGAAGTCTGACATTGTTCACCCTCCCATTTGGATGTTGTACTTTGTTCTTCTCCTGCCTCTTCTATAAACATTCTAATGAGCTAGGAATGGTGGTACATGCCTATAATCTCAGCACCTGGAAGGCTGAGGCAGGCAGCTGGCCTTGAATTCAAGACCAGCTGGGCTACATAGTGAATTCAAAGTTAACCTGGGCTGCCTAGTGAGACCTTGTCTCAAAAAACAAAAAGCAAGGCTGGTGGAGTTGCTCAAGTGGTAGAGAGCCTGCCTACCAAGTATGAGGCCCTGAGCTCAAACTCCAGAGCTGCCAACAAAACAAAACAACAAAACGAAACGAAACACTATTTCCCGTTCGCTACCTCAATTCCCCTTTCTTTCTTCATGTGCTCGCTCACACCCAGTTTCAATCCCACCCAGACACTAACAAGCTCCACTGCCCCTCCTCCACCCCATCTGGCTCTCTTGGGCCTGATCATACTTTCAGGCGTCATAACCACACGTCCATTGGGGCATCCCGATTTGTCACAGCCAAACCATTTCCCCAACCCGCTCCTCTCCTGTAGCTTCCCGACCCATCTCAGCGAGGAGCGTCTGCTTGTCTGCTTCTATCATTGTTTTCCAAGCTAGAAATCAGGAAGGAATCTAGATTTCAACCCTATCCCCCACACTGATTGCTACGTCCATGATTACGCTTCAGAGCCATGGTGGTGAGGCTCTACTTACACCTTCATCTCCTCTCGCTTGAGCTATTGAAATGGCTCCAAATCCTGATCGCTTGTTTTTGCTTTTCAATCTATGCACACTGTTGCAGCAGTCTTTTGTGTGGTGTGTGTGTGTGTGTGTGTGTGTGTACTGGGGATTGAACCCAGTGTTAGACAAGCACTCTACCACTGAGCTACACCCCATCCCTCTTCTATTTTATTATTTTGAGATAGGGTCTTGCTAACTTTACCCAGGCTAGCCTCAATCTCGTGCTTCTCCTGCCTCCACCTCCTTAGTAGATATATGCAGCCCTGGCTGCAGTAGTGCTTCTTTATTTTTCTTTTTTTGCGCTACTGGGGTTTGAACTCATATGCTACACCTTGAATCACTCCACCAGCCCTTTTTTTGTGATGGGTTTTTTCGAGAGGGTCTCTCGAATAATTTGCCCAGGCTGGCTTTGAACCTCGATCCTCCTGATCTCTGCCTCCTGAGTAGCTAGGATTACATGTGTGAGCCACAGGAGCCCAGATGTCACTGGGATTTTGATGAGGGCTGCCTTGAACATGTAGATTGTTTTTGGTAACAAGCCATTTTCACAATATTGATTCTACCAACCCATGAGCACGGGAGATCTTTCCATCTTCTTTTTATTTTTTTTCAGTGCTGGGGCTTGAACTCAGGGCCTATACCTTCAACTGTTGAGCCACTTCAACAGCCCTTTTTGTGTTAGGTATTTTCGAGATAGGTTGTCCAGGATGGCTTCGAACCATGATCCTCCTGATCTCTGCCTCCTCAGTAGAGCCACCAGCACCGGCTCTCTTTCCATCTTCTCAAGTCTTCTTTGATTTCTTTCTTCAGTGGTTTATAGTTTTCATTGTAGAGGTCTTTCACTTCCTTTGTTAATTTTATTCCTAGGTTTTTGGTTTTTGGAATTGTTTTCCTATACTCTTTCTCAGTCTGTTCATATAGAAAGGCCACTGATTTTTGTAAGTTGATTTTGTATCTTGCTAGTTTGCTGAAGGAGTTTGTGATGTCTAGGAGTTTTATGGTGGAGTTTTCCAGGTCTTTTAGGTATAAGATCATGTCATTTGCAAACAGGGGTAGTTTGACTACTTCCTTTTCTATTTGAATTCCTTTATTTCTTCTTCCTGTCTTATTGTTCTGACTAGGAATTCAAAAACTATGTTAAATAAAAATGGAGAGCATGAACACCCTTGTCTTGTTCCTGACTTCAGGAGAAAGTTTCAGTTTTTCCCCATTTAGTATGATGTTGGCTATAGGCTTGTTGTATACACCCTGTATTATGTTGAGGATAGGGTCTCACTTTATGCCTAGGGCCAGCCTAGACCACAATCTTCCTATTTGTGCTTCCTGCACAGCTGGGATGACAGGTGCCTGCCACCATGCCTAGCCATTGGTTGAGATAGTATCTCCTGAACTTTTGGCCCAGCTGGCCTAGACCCACAATCTTCTTGATCTTTGCCTCCTAAATAGCTAGGATTACAGGCTTAAGCCATCTGGTCTGCCTGGCCTCCTTCTCCTTTCTTAACTCCAATTTGTCTTTTAAGAGTCAGCTCATGCCCTTCCTCCAAGTTCTTTTGTATTGATTATGACCTTGGGATACCTTTGGTGCTCAATGAACCAACATCCATAATACATAGCAGGTTCCCCCATGGGAGCCTCCCCAGGGCAGGAACTCTCTCTCTTCCCACATGCAGCTCCAGGCTCTGGGGAGCCATCTAAATGCACTGAATTTAAAGTTCAGGATTTCTAACAGGAAGAGTGTGAGGAGGCTCAGAGGTGACCATCATTCTAATTTTCCAAACATTACATGAGCAGGAAGATAAGAAATGTCCCTGTCTGTCATCAAAGCTAGTGACACACCCTCTAAGGCTGTTGATTCCCAACTAGTTCCCTTTTTTCAGGGTCACACTGATGACTGGAAACTTTTCCTCATAAAAGCCACCCTCCCTCGCCACGTGATGGCAGGAAATAAAAAGAGGACTTGATATTGTCCCATCAGAGGAAACCTTTATTATAACATAAAATACACAATTTTTTGACTGCCCCAAATTGTACACAATACTTTTTTCAGGTGTCTATATACTAATCTGCCTTGACACTAAAATATGTATCTGAAATAATTTCACAAAGTTTTAAAAAGAAAAAATTATAAAAAGTATACTTTCATTGTAAGTGATATCCACTTTTGAGTCTCCTCCACCCCTCATACCACACACGGAACTGAGATGCTGAGGGCTCTGTGTGTGTGTGTGTGTGTATGTGTGTGTATGTGTGTGTCTGGGAGTAGGTGAGAGGTGGGGGGGGTGGGACTTGCCTTGCTTCTTCTTGTGGTTGCAGGAGCAGGGCAAAGAGAGAAAACAGAATGCAGAGAGTGAGTGCACCTTCCAGTCCAAAGCTTCTCCCATCTCTAGGCACAGCCTCAATAAAATTGAGGTTAGTGGGGGCAACTGGGCAGAAGCCATGCTCTTTGGCACCCTTCCTCCCCAACCTGCTGCCAACTGCAGAGTGAGCTTGGGGCTGCTCTGGACTCCCAGGCTGCTCTGCCCTCTGCGGGCCCTGAAAGTGTGTCAAGCCCCATGCCCCTGCCAGGGTTGCTGGGACAAAGAGGCAATCATTCAGATGCAGCCACTGGTAAAGCATCTGAATGACAGGCAGGGAAGGGTTCTTTAAACCTGTGTCCCCCAAGCAGTCAGGCCTTTCCCCCACACGCCCACCTTCTCGGTGGGAATTTGAATCAAATCTTGAGGGGGAAAGAAAGGGCTTAGCCTCCTCTTCCATGCAGGGGTCAGTGTGCTCCTGAGGCAGAGCCTACCACCAGGCACACAAAAATAAATCAGTGTATGAAACCAAGCCAAGGCAAACAGCAGCTTTTTAAAAAGTTACCTTCCAATAAATAATTTACGACAGGAGTATTTTCCTTTAACAGCAAAACACTGATAAATTCAGAAGTTACTTTTGTAAAAAAAAAAAATACCTGTTTATTTACTCACATGTATAAAAATAAGTTTTCAGGCCACCCTCTTCTGGGTGTGGTCCTGCCCTTGTTCTGGAGAGGGAGTGAGGGAGGCCTTGCTGGCTGAACCCATAAGCTCACCCCCTCTTCCCACCTGCCTGCTGCTGCCCCTTCCTTCCTTTTGGTGGAACGCTACAGAGGAAACTGTGGAACAAAATCATGTGAAGGCTTTTGTTTTGTTTCTATAGTTTAACAAACTTCCTGGCAAGTGTGTTGACTGCATTTCCCAGTTACCCAAGTGATCACCTGCTGAATAAGCCAGCACCAAGTGCAGTCCACATTCCTGTCACCTCCTCCTTAAGACATGGTGTGCAATAGGGAAAGGAAAAGAGGTGACCTGGGTACAAATAACCCAGGACCTGATGCAGGAAGAGAGATATTCTATGTCAATTTTGGGTGCAAATGAGGAAACAAAAAAACAAAACAAAAAACAATTTAGAAATGAAAATACCATTTGGCATTTGTAAAAAGCCACTATCAGTAACAAGCCTTTAGAAAGCCTCAGATGATGCCTCCATGGGTACAGAGGAAGGAGATGGGCAGCTGCCCTGGCAACCAGGCCATACTCAGCACTTGGGAGCCTGGCTAGGCGCACCATGCCACTCCACCCAGAGCACAGAAGACACCACATTGCATGCTCTCAGTTACGTGGCCCTCTGTTCTTTCCTGTTTTGTTAAACATGTCAGCATGTGTGTACACACATAAGAACTGAGTGGCAATTACAGCGAGATGAGGAGAGCAGAGGAGAGAAGGGAGGAGAGGAGAGGAGAGGAGAGGGAAGGGAAGGACATGGAGAGAATGTTAGGATGGGTAAGTGTTATGTAAAAAGCAACTACCCATCTGAAAATCTGTGACTTGCTTTGCCCCCATAATCTTCACATGTTGCCCCCTTCCCTATCCTAATGCACCCATGCACAAAGGGGTGGGAAAAGGTGATCCAGGAGGACTGGCTTTGTCAAAAGGCAGTCATGTACATTTCAGAAGCAGAGACAAGGACAGTTTGTATCCACTGCCTGGCAGAGTGATGAATACTCCCCAGAAAGGAGGTGCCTTTTCCTCCCTTTGTCCTCCTACTTGAAAAGCCACATGTCAAAGTTCAGCCACCCTTAATAAACATGGCCAAGTTCCAAGGTCTGTGGAACTGACTGCCTTTTTGCACGAGGTGAAAACAAGCAGAGCCTCTGTCTGTGGTCCTGGTGCTGTGGCTACAGCCTGGACAGCCAGGGGCAGAAACACCACCATGTGCAGTGCCACCACGCACAGAGACACTAAAGTCACAGCTAGTATTAACACTTCACATTATGCGCACTGTTTCCAAAGAGAAGCGATTCATGGAATTAAAACATCCACAAGAATAATTCCTCCAGTGAGGACGAAGCTGATGGTAGAGAGGCTGGGGGGGTCATGACTGTGCGTGAGGGATCCACTGACTGTCCATGGGCCGGCCTAAGAGTTCTTCCACACGCCGTGCCACGTCCATTGTGTCTTCCAGATCAAAGTCCCCGTCGGTATCAAGGACGGAGTCAGAGCTTCAGAAGGAAAGACAAGAGATGGAGGGGTGGGGGGAAAGGGTGTCAGAGACCACCTCAAGCCCACAGGCCACCAGGTGAGTGGTCTAGGCTGCTTATCTCTATGCCTACACCCTCACAAAAAAGATGTGCTGATCTGAACACCAGGGAGGAAAGACTTTTGCTGGAGGGTTCTATAGAAAGGCAAAGACCCCAACATCCACCCTAGCTGCCCAACACTGGCTGTCCCCTCCACCCAGTCCTTATGCACAGCAAGAAAAATCTCCACTTTCAGAGAGGGGAGCAGATGTCACTTTTCCAAGCCCACTCAAAACTACCAATCTTTCTGGTTGAATCTCTCCATCCTTCAGGTCAGAGCCCAGAGCGCAGCTGAGTGGTCTCAGACTCCCAGGACCTCTGGATTCCTCTGACCACCAGCTCCCCATGGACCCAAACCGAGGCCAGGTCCCAGTTCCTCCCCATGGACCCCCATGAAAACATGACCTACTTCTGCGGGTACATGTTGTAATGGGCCTGGGGACACACAGCTGGGGAGGGGGCCTGGTCCATGTACGTGGCGCCAGCCCCAGCATCTGTAGACGCATTCACAAACCTGCAGGAGGAAGCACAGGAGAGTACCACAGAGGCTGGTGGTACTGAGTTGGGGAGGGGCTCCGGGCCAACTTGACATTGTTTTCAGGGTACAGAAGGACAAGGTGCTCCACTGGGCCCTGGGGCTCTGGCTGCAAGTGAAGGGCCCTAGGTGCTGGCCACAGTGTGACCAAGACTGTGTCCCTCCCAAGGGCTGAGTCAGGTTTCCTAGAGGATCAGGGATGCTAGGCTCAGCAGAGAGGGATGTCCAGTGTTGGGGGCAGAGCAAGAGGGGAAGAAAAAGGTGTCAGGATACCCAAAGCTGGGCTGTAGACACTTACTCAGGGACCACTTGCTTGATCTGTGGCTTCACGTATCCGTCCACTGCTTTAGCTGGCAAGGGAAGAAAGTGATGAGAATCAATGTTCTCAAATGGAATAAAAATGTAATCTCCTGTAAAAATCACATTTTTTCTCTGAAGACACAGCCACCTAATTTTATCTTAGGACATGACAAAAGCAGTTCACATTTCCATCTGTAGTTAGACCTGCTAGAGAAGCTCAACACTAAAACTGAAAATCCAGGTATTTTCCAGGTGGGCTAGGCTGTTTAAAAAAAAAAATCCTTTAAATCAGGTGGGTGTCAGTGGCTCATTCCTGTAATCCTAGCTACTTGGGGAGGCTGAGATCAGGGAGATAGTGGCTTCAGATCAGTCTAGGCGAAGGAAAAAAAAGTATGCCAGATCCAATCTCAACAGGAAAAAAAAAAACTGAGTGTGGTGGCACATACCTGTCATCCCAGTGTCATAAAATAGGAGGCAAAAAGGAAAACCCTCTCTCCAAAATAGCCAGAGAAAAAAGGTGTGGCTGTAGAAAACCTACCTATCAAGGGGTGAAGACCTAAGTTCAAACCCCAGAACCATCAAAAAAAAAAAATCCTCCAACCCATAGACAATATGTACTTTCATATAAATTTAAATCAACTGTTTACCTGCATATAGTTTTAAAAAGAAAATTATCTTTTTTTTTTTTTTTGAGATTGTCTTGCTATGTAGCCCAGGTTGGCTTCAAACTTGTGATCCACCTGCCTCATCTTCCGGAGCACCTGTGATTACTGGCAGGTGCCATCATGGCTGGTAGAAAAGATATCTTTAAAAGTGTAGTCAAGTTGGGGGCTGTAGCTACTCAGGAGGCAGAGATCAGGATCGCAGTTCGAAGTCAGCCAGGCAAATAGTTCTGCGAGACCTTATCTCCAAAAAATCTTCACAGAAAAGGGCTGGTGGAGTGGCTCAAGGGTCAAGCCCTGAGTGGCCCTGAATTCAAGTCCCAGAACCGTGAAAAAAACCAAAAAAAGTGTAGTCAGAGATGCAATAAAAGGACAAGTTTTGTTCCATATTCTGGGAGCAATATTGGGACCAGCAGAGGAGGTCAGAGGAGGACAAATCTCAAGTCATACGATGAATGTTGTAAATAGAATCCTCACCCCCGTCCCCAGGTTGTCTTGGAAGAACTGCTATCTTCATTCATTGGAGGTTTTTTAGCAGAAGGAGTACAAAACCTTACCATGGACCACACAGAAAACTCTCAGCATTAGAGAGTAAGTTTGACTTGATGATTCCCAAGGCCACTCTTTCAGCAGAGAATGATACTGTTTTTAGTACTTGCATGCTTTTCATGTCTTGTAGTTTCTGCATTGGGCAGAGGTAACTTGACTGAGGATCACTTGTCCCAGTTAGGGTTGACAAAAAAAACTGGTTGAAAAGCTTGCCCAGCTTTCTGCAGAACCCCCAAGGGAACATGATGGACTAGGGGCAAACCTCCATGTGAACTGCAGTTACCCATTTAAAAGGCTGATTATGGACATCCAGTTAGGTAGGTGGTAGGTATATGAGTGTCTGAGGTGGGTGAATAAAGTCTTGTTTCCCAAGCATGGGAGCCACTCTCAAGCATGGGAGCTAAACAGCTCTCAGTTCACAAGCCACTTCTTATCCTGGCCTACTGCTTCAAATGTCAGGAGGTACATTTTCATAATAGCTCATGCACTCTGTGGTCTACAGAGAATTTTATAGATGGGCAAAAAGATAAAAAGAAAGGCTGTAAGAAATAGGATCTGAATCTGGGGGTGGTAGCTCCCACCTGTGGTGCCAGCTAATCTGGAGGCTGAGACTGGGAGGATCGAGGTTCAAGACTGGTCCAGGCAAAGAGTTAGTGAGACTCAATTCCAACCAACTAGCCAGGAATGATGGTTTGCCTGTCATCCCAGCTATGCAAGGAGGTCATGGGCAGGGGGGTCTTGGGTCAGCACTGGGTAAAAAAACGGGACCCTATCTGAATAACTAAAGCAAGAAAAAATGTGGCTTAAGTTGTAGAGCATCTGCCTAGCAAGTGCAAGGCCCTGACTTCAAACTCCAGTACAAACACACAAAAACGAAAGGGATAGGATCTTAAAAGTCTATATTAGTTTGTTAACAAATAGAAGTAGTGACACAGATAACACAAAATATCACATAAATCTAAACATATTTTGGCTTATTCTTCCCCTCCCCCCAGAAAAATTATCACCTTATGGCTAGAACATGGAATGCAAAAGATAGACTCTAGGCTGGGGGTATAGCTCAGGGGAGAGCACATGCTTAGAATACACAAATCTGCAAAGGAAATAGGTTTATAGATTGGAATTCTATAGAAATTACAAGTCTTTGTACTCCAGCAAAACAACACTTAAGTATTCAAAGCATGATAAAATATTTGTTATATATAATAAAGGATTAGTATATTTCATATACAAAATAACTTTAAAGGAAAAATGAGCTAGAAACATAAATATGCACTTCAAAGAAAAAACTATATATGGAAAATGATAGGGTAGATAAAACATATAGGCTCTGGAGCTAGACTGAGGTCACATCCTGGCTTGGCTACTTCTTAGCTGTGTGACATGTGGCAAATGATTTTAACGTCTCTGTGCCTCAGTTTACTTATCTGTAAAATGGGGGTGATAACTGTATTTACTTCATAGAGCTATTCTGAGGATTAAATAAGATACTATATGAAAAGATCCTGGCACACAGTAAGCATTCAGTAAATGTTAGATGTTATTACTTCATTATATTTATTATTTTCATCATCATATGGAAAGATGTTTGAGTTACCTAGAATCAAAGAAATGTAAGTAAGGCCCATAAGATACCATTCTTATGCCAAGAAGACTGGCAGACATGAAGTAGATGATTGGTTGGCTAGTGGGGGGTGTGGAGGAGTGAAAATGGATTCTACTTTCTGAAGGGCAATTCTGGAAAGATGTGCCCAAAAGCTTAAAAAGTATATACCTTTGGAAACCAATTATGTTTTAGGAATTTATCTTAAGGAAACCATTGAACAAGATACATGTACAGGGTTACATAAACCAAAACCAAAAAATGCAATTAATTAAATCTTAAGTATCATCACTATGCTACAGTATGGAATCACCATATAATGGAATTCTGTGTAATCATTTATGTATGTTAGAAGATTGCATTATTGCCCTATAACTCTGCCTTTTGTATATTTTTAAGTTGAGGGGAAAACCAGGGCACAAAAGATTATGTACAGTTGATCCAAATCCAAACCTTTCACCCTGGCCTCCACGGCTGAGGTCTGCTGACCTCTTGTTTGCAAGCTCCAGTTCCCCACTCTGGTAAGGTTCTTCAGATGCACCAAGCTCACCCTCCTCAGGACTGTGCTTGTTCTGTGGGCCTACGGTGTTTTTTCTCTGGCTCTTTGTATGCCAGCTTCCTTACTTTGTTCAGTATCTTCAAATGTCTCTTCCTCAGAAACCTCCCACCACTCTCACTGAATGGTGCCCTGCCCCCTTCCTGTCACTTCTCCATCTCTTTACCTTGCTTTATTTTTCTTTGGAGCATCCATTCACTAAATGAACACACATTATTACTTGCTTATCGTCTTCTTTCTCTGACTAAATTGTAGGTTCCATATGAGACGTACACAAGAAACACCTGGAGCCGGAATGAAGGAAGAACACACCCTTATGCCAACATGTCTGCAGAGGCTAATCTCTAGGTGGGAGCTGCATGGTGTCTGCTTTCTTTCTTATGCTTTTATGTGTTTCCTGAAAATTTTACAACAAGTACGGAACACATCTAGGTTCAGAAAACAAAACCATCTCTGTTTTGAAAAACAAAATTTTACCTTTCTAATTTTGCTTGATCTAAGCTTGTGTTAAAAGCAAATTGTTCCCTCTGATTTGGTATTTGGGACTAGTGGCCGATGGATTTTTCTATATAAATGATGAAGACGGCACTGGGCTTATATCTGCTCTGGATACCGGTCAAGTATCAGTGACCAACACTAATTGTCTGGGTTTCATGAAAGACACACACACAGACACATGCACACAAACAAACAAAAGACCCAAGCAAGGTCACAACAAAATCAAATCAGAATGCGAACATTGTTACCAGTGGCAGGCTCGCATGGAACTGGTGTGTAATATTTGGAGTACACTTCATCTTTTGGTCGATCAGGAAACACGTATATAAGGTAACTCAAGTCCCCCAAACGGTCAGCCAGGGACCGGATGGAGAAGTCTCTGGTGGTAAAAGGCATCAGATTCCAAAACATCCTTTCCTCTAGATCAATAAACAGAATAATCACATTCTAACCATGATTTCTGAACACAGAATCTTAAAACCTAAATATAACACAAATTGAAGCTCTCAATTAAAATTTCTCCAACAGAGATCTTCATTTAAAAATAACCACGGGTTATAGATAAAGTACTTTTTTAAAAGTCATGGGTTGATAAGCATCAGTCTTCCCTAGAGACAAAAATGATCTTGTGTTGGTTCAAGTTCCCTTCTAGAAGAAACAGTTCTTATTGACCCCAATCCCTGATTCTCTATTTAAGGGAGCATCTCATAGCCAGAGAAAGTGTAAGAGCTATTAAAAGCTATTAAAATCTTCATGTCACATACAAAAAAATGAGCAAGCTACTCTATTTTATTATGGGGGCCAGAGGAAAGAACTGACATTCTTGGGTGGAAACGGTCAATGGCAATATCCTTCCATTAATTAGGAAATGGGAATGACTGAAATAGTGCATTATGACTATCCCGAGGACTCCAAATCATCAAAGTAATTCTCCACTGAAATAAGCTCCAGGTTGAGTACTAATGAGAGAAACATTTCAAAAAGGAAGTGGCTGAGATTCTGTAGACTGCAGTATTACATGATTATATTTTTCCCAAAATTAGTAACTGTGTTTCCCATAATAAACTTGCTCACAGGCTGCTGTAAATTATGAGCAGCTGTGCCGTGGTGATATGTTTGTGTTTCCCGTAGTTAGTACTGGCCCTGACAAATAACAAGTACTCAATAAATTGTTCAAGTAGTGCTGTAACAAAAGCAGCTAACTTTGGACACAAAGCCAAGCTGTATCTTCAACAGGGAGGGGCACTCACGAGAATCAAACTTCCAGGCAATGGTGATGCCGCCGATCTCCGAGTCACTGAATCTCAGCAGGAAGGTCCCATCTGGCTTATTAATGAGTAGGTCATGGGCTTGTTGCTTGTTCACAAAACCCAAAATGGCCCTGGATGACAAAGGCCAAAGGAGCAGAAGCAAAGGGTGACATTAATGCCAGAAGGAACATCTTTGTACTCTATGGTCTTAAGAAGTGACAATTTTAGCCAGTGTTGTGCTGGGAACCTGTAGTCCCAGCTACTTGGGAGGCTGAGGCAGAAGGAACACTTAAGCCCAGGACTTTGAGGCCAGTCTGGGAAACACAGTGCTCCTCCCCCCTCCACACCATCTTAAAAAAAGAAAAGTGATGATTCTCACCCATCATTCCAATGAGGCTTAAGATGTTTTTTTAATACTTCCATCACACCGTCAAACCACTGCCAGAAAGTGTAATTCCGTCCTGGCAAATTCTCCTGGTTGGAGATACAATGAACATGAGAAAGCAAGAGTGACAGTTGAAATATTGCCTGCATAGACTTTAACTGGAAAAACTAAGTGAAAAACAAACATCTCTGCTGCCAGAAGCATGCGAGTGTGCCTACAGCCTACTACATGGTCCGATGATCCAAAAGACAGACCATGGAGGAAAAGACGGAAGCAAGGGAAAAGGCCAAGTGCTATTATCAACACTTAGTAGACTTCTGCTACAACTCTCCCACCTGGATCTGGCCTGACCGGATCCTGGCTATTTTTTGATGTGTGGCCTGTGACCAGCAGCATCAGTATTACTTGGAAGATTCTGAGAAATGCACAATTTCCAAGCCCATCTCAGACTTGCTGAATCACAGCCTGCATTTTAACAAGATGCCAGGTCTGTAAATCTGACTTGGATTAGATCAAGGCTACAGAGATAGTGATAGCACACAGATATTTCCAAGTTATCAGTTACCTGGTCCTACTTGAAAGCAGGGGCTTTACTGTCATGGCAAAGATAGACCCTTGAGACCTCTTGCTTCCCCACCACACCTCCTCTGACTGCCAGCAAGCCTGCCAGCCAACTTGTTAACACAAAGCATTCAGAAGACTCAGACTGTGAGCTCTCTGCATTAGGAACATTTAAAACACTGGGGATGGGGGTGTAAGAAAAGAAACAAGTTTAATTGAAAATTAAAGATCTGATATGTGACATCTGAATTACCAGATGCTAGAGGGTATGTCTCCTTCATTTGTATCCCCTTCTGCAGGTTGAGGTCCTATGGGAGCCCGGTCTGGGATTACACGTCAGGAAACATCAGAGTTGTGGGACAATGCCATAGGATCCTGCTCATTCTAAAGCTTTATTTCTCATGAGTCACATTCATGTGGGTTTGCTCTACTTCCTTCATCAAGGAACAAAAGGCATTATCTGCACAGAAGGTCCAGCTTGCTTAAATTATGAAAATATATTGTTTTTCTACATGAGACCTGGATAGCACAAGTTGTCCATCTACTCAGAAGCTTCTATTACTTTTGGTACATTTTATTAGAGAAATGAAGAAAGTGGGCCAAGGGCAGGGAGACTTAGGAAGGCAAACAGTTTGGAAGGACTGACTTAAACAGCAGCTGGTAGCTGGGTTGCTCACCCTGTTGAACTGGGACCAGGACACAGACATGGTGCTGTAGTCCTCGAGGTGGGTACTATTGCTGTTGAACAGTTTCTGCGCCAGGAACACAAGGTTCTCTTTGGTCAGGCCCCGGGTGCTCTGCACTTCGGCCTTGAATTTCATGTTGAGTGCTTCACACAGCTGT